TTTTATTTGAGTTTTAACCTATGGCACGATATGTACAAACAAATCGACTGGCGGTATTTCCATTTGAAATTTTGCCTATAGAAGGTCTACTTGTAATTAGAATGCTCTGAAAATTTCAGCTCAAAAGAATGTTTTCTCCGCAAGATATTGAATGCCGATAAAACATGAGATTCTCGTATCTTTTATGGCATCCGAGTGACTTTTGAAAAATCAATATCTTGCGGAGGAAGCATTTGTTTGAACTGAAATCTTCAGAGCTTTCTAATTACAAGTAGACCTTCTATGGACAAAATTTCAAATGGAAATACCGCCAGTCGATTTGTTTGTACATACCGTGCCATAGGTTAAAACTCAAGTAAAATGGCTATAACTCTGTAGAGAAGGCCTATGGGCCCGAATCCTTTTAGGATTATTCTAGTCTAGAGGTTCCCTCTATACACCCAAAATATGAGCTCAAAAGCGGTGAATCACTTCGAGTGCTTCCCTCGTAAGACAATGATCTTCAGACCCCAGAAAGCCTTGTGGGAATTAGTTTTTGAAAGTATCATTTGCAAGAGCAAAAAGTTTTGAATAAAATATGTGATTATCGCATTTTCTATAACCTGCGTTTAGGAGTTACAAACATCGCAAAAAACGCTAAAAAAAATGACTAAAAAGAAGTATTTTGTCGCTTTATTGATGCTTATAACTCTTTAAGAGAAGATCGTAGAAAGAGTGTTGGTTGCTCATTTTATTCACAATGTTATGATTTGAAAGAGTGTATTGTCAAAACCTAATCTTCGGAGAATTGAAAATTACTGTTTTCGTTTTTTTTGCAACCTTGCTCTGGTAGTTCATCACTGTGATGTTGATGTGGAATATATGTAGATGTGTACTATTGCCTATGTCAAAAAAAAGGCGAGTGGATATTTTTTTTGAATAATTTTTGATAGGATCACTATAGAGAGCTGCGATTTCTGCTATTGGAGAGAGGAGATGGAGACGCATCGAACTGTATATTGCAGAATAATTTGACATAGTTTTTTTTAGATTTACTCATTCAGGAGTTATAGGCATTTTATTCGAAACTCTTAGCTGATTTTTCCATTAATTTCTATGAAAAAAAAACCCTTTTTTTTCGCGTTTTTTTTATTTTACAAGAAACCATTTCTTCCGGCATTTTTTCAGAAAATTGATTTGGAAAACTTTAGAAAAACATCTTAGAAACGTCTATAATACACCATTCGATGCATCTTCATCTCCTCTTTCCAATGGCAAGAACCGCAGCTCTCTATCTCGCTTCTATCAAAAGTTATTCAAAAAAATACTCATCCGCCTTTTTCTTGAAATGAGCAATAGTTTCAGTTGGACTCTCATTGATACATGTCTAAATATATTTAAAAGAGAATTTTATTGCCTAGTCAAACCACTATTTGCATTTTAGTTAGATGTTTGATATTGCAGGAAAAAACAAAAAATATCGTTATTACTACATTCAATAGAAAATATATTACGGATCGATTAGAAGTGGATAACGATAGTTCGATGTTGCAATAATACCATTTTGAATTGATAGATCATCATTTGGTAAACCTTGCAAATTCCATTCACCGATCTGTATAAATAAATATATAAAGTTTTAGATTATATTCAGTAGAAAGACACAAGATAAATTTAAAGAATTTTTTCAAGATTGTATAATAAATTCCTTTATTTATTCTAATGTTCAATATCGATGATTAGATACGAACTGATAAGGTTTGTAATAGATCTTGTTAATACGAGTGTTAATGTTAAAGTAAACGGAACTTTTTGTAATTATACCAAAGCAAAACACATAAAACAATTCTTTACAGCGAGTCAAATATTTGTTCGAATTCCACAGTCTTATTTATTATTTAAAAAAAAACAATCCTTACTGTTGCTTCATCATTTAATTGTTCAATAATATCAAAATTATCCGAAAATGGAATAGTTCTTTGTTGTATTTGTTTTTGCCATTCATTTAACATACGTTGTCGAAAATCTTGATTAAATGGACCACAATATGATAGAAAAGCTGTCACAAGAATGGTATTTCCAACTAATCTAATATATAAAATAAATATATATTATTATATTATAAAAATTATGAATAAAATTACTTTTCAATACTCTGTTCAAATGCTTTATTTTGTTCATTCCATCGAATTTTTTCACCTGTTAAACCTGATATTAATGTATTTGCATCATCACGTCGTTTAAGTAAAGCATCATAATCTGATTGATATGTCTAAATAAATTCTTATTAAATTAATATTATTAATTTAGTAATATAATTAAATACTTGTTTTGTTTTCATAGCTACATCAAAATCATGTTGACATTTAGTTAAACCAATTTCAGTTCTTTCAAGTTCACGTTCAGCTCTAGCTAATTTTCTTGAAGCTTTTCGAAGTGAATTTTCTGCTTTTTGTACTTTATCCTATTTTAATATTGATTAATAGAAAGTAATTTTATTATTATTAATTATACTTTTATTGGAATAACTTCTTTATTAATTGCATGATAAGATTGAATTTTATCTAGAAATTTCGAATTAAGAAAATATTTCATATAGACAAAAAAAAATCAATTCACCTGTCCATGTTTTTAATGTTGCTAAATCTTGATAAGCTTTTCGAGCTTTTTCCGATAGATCTTTTATTTCTGTATATGGTGCAAGTAATTCAATGATTTCATCATTAAGTTCACGTATTGTTAATAATGTTGATAATAATCCAGAAAAATTAAGTAATCTTAAAATTTCTGTTTTTGATGGTGTATAAAAAGGTTCATCAAGATTATAATCAATTCGTATTGGATCAATACGTCGTTTCATTAATATTAATGCCATATCAAGTACAATCATTATAGCTTCAGGAGGTTTTGCTAATTTACGAAGATTAGTTATTGTATTTCCTTTGATTTGCTATTTGAATATACGAGAATTAAAATTGAATATTTAACGTTTAATTATGGGAAGAGATCTGATCTTTTATAAATGACAAAATTTTATATTCGAAATCAAAATTCTGCAGAGTAAAGTGAAGATAAGGGTCGTACAAAAAATGTTTAAGTTAGAATCAGGATGTTGTTCATATTGTTAAGATTCTTTTGGCAAGCAACTTCAAACATATTCCTGATATCTTTCTGGTGTAGAAGAAGTCGGTCGTTATGTTAAAATGAAATGTAAAGAAGAATCGATATTGGACTGGTGAGACAAATGGTCATTGAATTATCCATAACTTAGTGTATTTGAAAAATGTTATGGGAAGTTAAGCTATATTTTCAGTGTAAGCGGGAGAATTTTGAAAGAGAGAGAGAATACTGTAGTGAACGGCAATATTGTTAATGACATTTTATTCTTATGAAACTTTTATAATTTTGTATTTAATTATGATTGAAAATCAATAACATATGTTGAAACATAATGAAGTAAACTTAATGTTAACATCTGCCGAAATCTGAAAATTTTAGAGTAAAGATGCGAAACTTTTAGGATAGGATATGAGGTACGAAAAAGTCTTACCCTGCAGGACTCTATTTGAAATGTCATGTTTTTCGCTTGTTCTTCTCCGTTTATACTTTCTTGATCGCGTAACTTCACAATTCCATTTGAATAAAATGTATTGCATTTATGTGTCATAGTCTGTCTACTAAATATTCATCCATTGTTTCATTTTGTGTATACAGTTACATATCATCAGTTCAATTGAACATAATGAACTTATATATTTTTATATGTCTTTTTTTATTTTGCTAGATTATTTATTGATCGAGAAAGGACTACTTTAAGATTTAAGAAAATGTATCATAATTTTGAATGAAACTTAGAAAATATCAATTATTCTCTTTTGCAAAAAAAAATGACAATTGCGCTAAAGACTGGATTCGAACGAAACTTTCACTATGTGTTGCAATTTAATATGACGTGTATTGTGTTGAAAAGTATGACACATTTTATTTTAATGTGCAGGATATCGCAAAGTCCATTTTTTTTTGGTTAATTAAGATTTGTTACTATTATACAGAACAATACTTTTATAATCAGATCACCACTTTTTGAAGTGTTTTTCGCAGTATTGAACTTTTCATCTCTTTTATTTGCTTAAAAAACTCTGATATGCTTTTTCAAACAGGAAAAAAATTAAGTATATAGAATAAATGCTTGGAGAGAATTTTGAACTCCTAAAAGAGCTACTTTTGACCTGTGTTTGTTGAATATCTCTTGAAAACATCATGATATAGGACTGAAAATTTTATCATAGCCTCGTCACACTACAGCCCCAGCATGTTCTGATAATTTCATGTGATTTGAGTTTACCTGATTCAAGATCAGTTTTTTTTAAGGCGAAAAGAATTGGTTTTAAATAGTTATTTAGACTTTTAAAATATAATTCTATATAATCTTTTCTTAACAATTGTTGACTGATGAAATCACACGACAAGGATTTTTATCTTTTTTTTTTTGTGTTTTATCTCCATATCATTATACTTATATAAAGCATCAACGAATATACACGTAGATACATCATATTTTTGCAATTGCGCTTTTTGTTTTCTTGTTTTTTTTTTATTAAAAGAAAAAATGTTTAAACTTTTCGCTGTTTTTCTTGGTGCTATGTTATTAGCTGTAAGCTATGGTGGACTTCCTGGTGGTTACACTGATCGTCCAGAATTAATCGAAGATCCATTTGTCAAAAGTTTAACTAGTTTTGCTGCTGAATATTATGCTAAGAAAGAAAATATTTTTCTTAGCCGTCTTAAGGTTACTCATGTTCAAACGCAAATTGTTGCTGGTGTTAATTATAAATTAGACTTTACTGGTGAAATTGTTAGTGATATTAGCGGTAAATTAGCAACATGTAACGCTGTTATCTATGTACGATTTGATCAAACTCAAAGCGTTACTAATATTGAATGTCATTAAAAATAAACTTTTACTTTTTTTGTTTTTCTTAATATTTATATTTCTTTTCTTTTCTTTTTGAAATAAAAAATCAAGCATAATTTTTTCTTACTTTAACAGCTTCTTCAGCTTCTTTTAAAATAATTTCAGCGGCTGATAATTCTTCTTCAGCAATTGCTTTTTCTTCATTAACTTGTTTAACAAGTATTTCAGCTGTTTCTTTTGATTCTTGAACTTCTTTTGTTTTGATTTCAGCTGCACTACGTAATACTTCCATTTCGGCTACTTGCTGTAGAAATATGATAAAACAAAAAAAAAGAACATCGTAGAAAATATGTCAATATGAAAATTATTAGAGACTTTGACCTTAGTAGAAAATATCAAAGTTATCAAAAACAAAAGATATGTCGACTGTAAACTAACATCTTATATGTAATAGCAAAATATATTGAAATAAGTGTATGTCAAGTATATTATAAATACCTATCCCGGCATAGGGAAGACATCCTTGAAGAAACAATGTGCTAGACGTAACCGAAAACTCTCTTCTTGAATAATTGATTTTTTGAAAAATTGTAACTTTAATTTGTATATTTATCGCATGTGACAAAAGTTTTGTGACATTTTTTTCTTTTCCATGTAACTCTGTTCAGACAGATATATCTTCAAAATAATATTTGATAAAATGGATGATTCTAAACACTGTACAAAACCAAAACGTTCATTACTCCATTAACACTTCCTAGGAGATCAGTACTGATTTATCCTCAATTTGTTTTCAATTGAAGTGAAGTTTCTCATTGTGTTTCTTTTGTAGTATTTCTTTCAACAGTCGAAGAAGTTTAGCTATTTATGCATCGAGCTCACTGTATTTGAGAGCAATATAGCAAAAACAAAACGGTTTTTTTTCAGGACGAAGCATTCAGGTCAATTGACACAGACGTTAGTTTTTACTTGTATTTGAGATGAGGATGAATAATAATTCTCATGCTTTGAAAGTCACACTAGTTTTCTGAATGGTTCACAAGTTCAATAATTTTTGCCTTTGTTTTATATTTCTCCTTGTAGAAAATAACACGGTGATACACGTTTTTAATATTAGTAGTTTATTAAAATTTTCAAGGAAGATTTGGAAGATTTAGTCTTGTGAAATGAGTAGAATATTCAATGCTGCATCCTTTGAAAAAAAGACCAACGAATATAGTTGCATCCAAAAGAAAAAATATCGCAAAACTTTTGTCACACTCAGAACATCAAAATTAATGACCGAACTTTTCATTACATAAACAAATTGGTGGTGCAATATACTTATACTTCATTCAATAGTTTTGTAGAAAGTAACAAGGAAAACTAAAACTAAATAATAAGAAAATACTTTAGTATCTAAAACTCCGTTAAAACATTTAGACAGTAGAAAAATTCTTAAACATTTATGATTTCATTGAAAAGTTTTGTTTCATTGATGATAAATCATAAAGAATTTTTTTTATACTTTTGCTGCTTCCATATTAGCAATAGCCATAGATTTTTCTTTTGAAATTAATTCTTGTGTAATTTCTTGAACTTGTTCAGCTGCTTCAAATAATTTTTGAACACCAGTTTTCATTTTTTGTTTTTCTTTTTCAAAATATTCACGTTGTTTTTGATAATATAATTTAAATGCATTTATAAATCTGAATAGTAACAATCAAAAACAAAAACAACCAATAATAAATTTCAATAATTTTCTATTCTTTTTGTTTTTTACGATAGAAATGATTTCGGTGTTACATATGTTCGTCGTCGAAATTTTTCATAATAATTTTCACATATTCGACTAACATCATCATGAATATCGGCCATTAATTCAATAATATTCTTTTTTATTGTATTTGATGTAACAAGAATATCAAAACGATTTAAATAAACATTTGATACAGCAATAAGAGCATCAAGTGGCCAACGATGAAACCTAAATTTAATAAAAGAATTTTTTTTTTTATTTTTTTTTTATTTCTTCTATATAACAAACCAATCAATAGTACAACCAGAAACTAAAGCTGGAAATTTTAATGCACGTTCACGAAATTTTCGATTATCAGGAGAAAAACATAAAACAATATGAAGATTTTTACGAAGTCTTTCATAATAATAATTTTGTAAATTTTCATTTGTTAATATTCGTTTTGGATATTCTTTTTTCATTTTAACTGATAATTCTGATAAAGTTTCATCCATTTCTTCACGTGTTATTAAACCAGATACCTTACAAAAAAAAAATATATATATTAAATAATAATCGAATTATATTTTAATAGAAATAAAATTACTTCTCCAGAACTAAGAACATTATTTAAATATTCAAGAAATTGATCATCTTTTATATCATTATCAGTAATTATAAATACAATGCCTTGACCAAGACGAGTTGCACGTCGATATATATTTCGTAAATCATCCAAAAAATTATTTAATGTATATGTTCTTTAATAGATATTATTAAAAAAAATTAATATTAAATACTTTTGTTTATTTCGATTACCTTGAGACACTTATTTGAAAATATTTATAACCTAAAACACAAAAAAAAGAAACATTATTCTGAATATAAAATCTGAATAAATACATTCATTAACCTGCAATATAAGCTGCTAATTTAGTTAAAGATTGTTTTCCACTACCACCAACACCAATCTAGGAGAACAAAAAAAACGATATTTTCTTATCATTCAAAAACAAAAACAAAATAAATCTAACCAATAATAAATGTCCTTTTGGCATATTAATTACACGTGAAATCTAAAAAAAAAAGAAAAGAAAATTATAAAATTTATTTTATTAAAAGAAATTCTCAAGAATTCATACACGTAATAAATGAATCATAGCATCTTTAAAAAAGACTAAATCCATATTACTACCACGAATTTCTTCATTCATTTTTGTCATACTAGTCATTAATTTTGTTTGTAAAATATCCCATGATGATATTGGTTCATAAACTTTTGGTAATAAATCAGCAAGATCAATATCATCATCCATTTCATCAGTTACTTCGAGTTCTTCACGAAGAAAACTAACGAGAAAAAAATATTAAATTAATTATTACAAAAAAAGAGAGTCGCGATACTTTTCTGACTTGCCATTAAATATTCATGTGTTTTTCACATGTCTTTATTGTATCACAGTTAGGAGGGTCCAATCTGCTGCGATTCTGAGGTATAGTGATGTGTTTTCATTGTATGAGACGATCTTCACAGAGTAGGGAGCTGCGAGTCTTTCTAGATCTGAACTCGGCCGAGTTTGGGTCCAAAGTTTTATTTATTTTTGAGCCTGTTTACACGTTTTTGTGGATCTGCTGCTCCTCGAATGAGAAATACAGCAGCAAGATATAACTGTACGTTGAGTTTTTTTCTGCAAATAGCGAATAAATAGCTGAAACCTTGATCTTACACTTGTTCATGTACACGAAGGATGACACGCATTGATGGAGAAAACCTCGAGTTTGGACCCCGTCGGGTCCAGGCTCGAGTTCGGGTCTCGGCCCATAAAAACACGGATCCATAGCTTCCTACTATTGTCCATTTCAAAATACAATGTACTCCATTGTTCTTTGAATCACTCGATAACGTCAACAGCTAGAGACCTGCGGTTTTCACCAACCGATAGAGGATACAGGTGCACATCTTTTCCTCTAATATTGTGGGGAAATTTTGCTTTTGACATGTGATCTAGATAGAGGCACTTCAGATTTATACTTCAAGATATAATTGGAATGATTATCTTCCCATATCCTAATGTTGAGGAAATAAAATCGTCAATTTACTAGCACGAAAATTGTAGATTTTCTTTTGATTTTTAAGCAAATTTTCGTACTTTTTGTCAAAATTTCATCTGAATCACAGACCGTTTTTACACTTTTTTTTAATGTTTGGTAGAAATGACTGATTTCGTCTTATACAATATTGGAGAAAAGGACGTACTCTTATCTCCTCTCTCGATTGATGGAAACCGCAGGTCTCTAGCTGCTTGCGTTATCGAGCTATTCAAAAAACAGCGGAGCACATTATATTTTGAAATGGATAATAGTAGGTATAGAAATTCATAGTAATCTAACAATATGGCATTAAATAAAACACATAATCTGATAAACATAAAATTTGTATTAAAAAAAAAAAATTTCAATTACTTAGCAAAATAAACTTCTGAATCTTCTTGTATGGAAATATTATAAATATCACCAAAAGTTTGTTTACCAATTCTATATTGTTCTTTTCTAAACCATTCTTTTTCTGTATTTAAAATTAATCGATCAGCTAATACTCTTGTACATTCATGTTTCCATAATTGAATATATTGTTCAATATTATTTTGACATTGTTCAGAATCAATTTGTAATATACCTTCCCATATACGTGATAAATCTCTTAAATTAAATATATAATGAAATTTTGCTGGTGTTGGTAAAAATTTTCCTTTAACTGATTGCCATAGAGTACGTGTTGCTGAAATTGATTTTTGAACAATTTGAATAAAATCATTTGAAAAATTTCTTTCCAAACAAAAATATTTTCCTATTGAATTAAATATATGATCAATTGTATTATTTGATGGTAATGTACAATTTAAAATAAAAAAATGTCGTTTTAATCGTTCAGATATATCATTACGACCACCACCAGGATGACACATAGCAGCAAGAAATTGTAAATCAATTATATTAAGAAAATCACCTGGTTTAGTTAATGAATAAAAACCTTTTTGTTCGATAAGTTGTCGAAGAATTTCATTTGCTTCTTGATCACCCCAAGAATTTATCATTGGCATATTAATATCATCAATAAATATTGTCATTTTACGTCCATATGATGGACCAAATGTATTTGCTACACGTTTATCAACAAAATTTTCTATTGTTTTTTGTATAAAACTACTTGTTGTTATTGATGAAAAATTTATTATACGTGTTAAATGTTGTTCACTATCATAATGTTTTAAATAACTTGTAATTATAACAGTTTTAGCTGTACCAGGTTCACCAATTAATAATACAGGTTTCTCTTGTTTAGATAATATATTAATAAGATATGTTATACGAACATTATCAATATTAGGAACAAGAATTGATGCAAAATCAATTTTTTCATCTTTAGGATATTCCCATGGTTCAACACGACTCGACCAATGTTCTAATCAAAGATACAGACAAAAATCATTCGTTAGCAATATAACTTTGAAAAATACATCCATCTTGAGATAATGAATTTTTCTACAGCTAATTTCTGTATGTTATATATCTGTTAAGTTACTCTGAAAAAATCAACTCTAGAGACTTTTGTTCAGAGGAGTTATTAGCAAAAAAAACCTAGCATTAAAGAACATCAACTTTCACTTCATACATTTTAGTTTAAAAAAAATACTTCAAATTGAAGGTGTAATGTAGGCGTGCGTATAAATTCCTTCTTTTCTCTGACACTCACACTCTCACATATTATCTATAACTAGCAGGGAACCCGTGACTCCGCCCCGATCTGTACAATCCTAATCATTCTGCTCCTTATCCCAGATGAAAGAGTAGAATTGGTCCTTTAATTTAAAAGTTAAAGGTGTTATTGTTTCGATAGATTATTGTTCTAGCTGTTGATCAGTGTAAATGTTGCTTTATATATACCCTATCCACCAAATGTTCGAGTGCGTTCTAGAAACTTTCAGAAGTGTTTGGCCTTTGGCCTGCTCACATGATGCCTTAACAAAAGTTCTAGAAAGTTGCAGAAATTTCTAGATTCCTGGTTACTCCCATATCGTTTGAGAAAGGTCTAGAAAATTTTAAAATATTTAACCTTTGACCTAGTAACAGACGGGCACACAAACAATCATGTTTTGTTATAGAGGTATGGATGGATGGATAATTGAACGTGATAATAGATGATATATCATTTAAACTTACCCCATTGACCATTATCATTAACTAAATAATCAAATATTGAATCACCTTGTGAAATATTCTTCGGAATATCAATATCATTTTGATGAATAAAATATTGTTCAATTTTAACGCGATCATTTAATTCTAATAGTGAACCCATACTAAACAAAAAAAACAATATCAAAGTATTAACTTTTTACCTTCCTGTAGGACCATTTTTGACCCATTCATAGTGAGTAACATGAAAGGGGATTATTTTTTCGATATAAACTCATAAAATAACATGATCTTCATGATAGAAACTTGCAGCTTCTGTTGTGACCTTCCTTCACGACGAGATCGTAACAATAGGAATGGGTGATTTCGAATTTGAATCAGAAATAATGATTCTATATTATTGTGTTTTATACAGATTTTCTCTTTCAGACGGATGATTTGACACTTCAGGAGAGTCAGCTTGATTTTTGAAGAGGTGCCACCCCTCAGTTTCCAGGTTGGATAAAACAGTACCATATTATAAAAAACCAATGAAGACTATAAATTCTGGCGCAATCCTGGAAATGAAAGATCTAACTCCAATTCGCAAAAACAGCCGCCTTTGCAGGTGTCTAAGGATGAAGGGTTAATTTATTTCAAAAATTCTATACCTCCATATAAGTGCAAATATAGTTAATCGTTCTAAAAAACTTTTCGTATATTCAATTTCTTTATTCAATAATCCATCAAGTAAATCAATGATCTATGGAATAATAAATAATTAAAATTTCAATATATATGTATATATATAAAGAAAAACAAAACAAACTTGTTTGATATAATTACATTCATAAACTTTCATTTTTGGTAAACATTTTGTAATTAATAATTTAAATAATTCATCAAAATGTTTTTCAAGTATTTCAAATATATAAATTCCAATTATTTTTATTTGTTTATTCATCCATGCTTGAAATATAGGTCTCCAAGGAAGAATAGTTGATGACATAAATATCATTCCACAACGTGATACAGTTGCTGGTGATGCATTATCAATATTATGTACTTCAAATATAAGTTTAACATTTGATGCCATTGGTATACGATCACCATTTGCTAATGTTAATAATTTATTATCATCTAATACAGAATTAAGATTTTCTATCCATATTGC